GAAGGACACATATTGGTGGCCATTCGAAGGATACACATAATTACTGAATACAAGTTTATCTTATGATGATTCTTGGTCCTACATGTTGCCAGGCCCAAGCCTCCTGCGCAATGGCATTCGAAAGAAGTGACAAAGGAGGCTTCGATTGGCCAGAATGAAGTTCTCACTTGGGCTATCTGAATCAAGTAGCTAAGGCAAATAGATGGGTCCAATCGAAGGAGCCATTCAAAGGACATGTAAATGATCCATTCGGAGAAGCATTCAAAGGCCCATTCGAAGGACACATAGTGTTGTCTGAAAAAAGGGTTTGGTCAAAGATTGGATCTAGTTGGCCAAAACAAAAGAGAAATATGCAAAGATGCTTGTTGGACAAAAATCCCACATATTGTCATACTCAAGCTTCCTGCATAAGCACATTCATGCCATAGGAATGCTTCGATTGACTAGGAAAGAGTTTTCGTTTGGGATAGCTGAGTAGGGGCTCAATCGAAGAGGCCCCAATGATGATAATTTGAACCATTCGCAAGAAGTAACTCAGAGTTAATCGAAGGGCAAGACTTGAGCCATTCGAAGGAAGTAACTCAGAGTCAATCAAAGGACAAGACCTGAGCCATTAGAAGGAAACAACTCATAGCCAATCGAAAGGCATAGACTGAAAGCATTCGAAGGTGAAACATGTCCAGGTTCACTCAACATTTTAAAATGGCATGAATATTCTCTAAATGGCAATCTTTAAATTGGTATGATTTTTATCTTCAAAGATATATTTAATGGCTAGCCTTTAAGGACATGATTAAGGCTGTTTCTTTCCATGCTAAGACTCCCTCCTCATCTCCTATAAATACCCAACATATCTGCAAGCTGGGGGGGCACACAAAATTTCCTATCGAAAGCTGCCTCAAAGAGCCACGAAAATCCTCAAAAATCCAGCAAAGTTGTCAAAACCAAAACACCTTTTGCAGGCGCCTTCGATCCAAAACCAGCATCTTGTATTCCTCCTAAAGGTCTCAGAAGACATCCCCAATCATCATACAAGCCCAACACATCCCCAAAACACCCCCACGATAATAATCAGTTTGATATATTTCTTTAATTCAAACTTGTTAAAATATGTATTGTTGATCCATTTAATGCATGCATATATATTTGTGATAATGATCTGACATTTTACATGAGAACTTAAGTGCTAAAATTGCAGGTTACCATGGCTAGAGGTTTTCGAAATAGAATTACCTTTGAAACCCAAGGCACAGACCGTCATAGATAGAAACAACCCCAGATTGGGATTCAGGGGGTTGATTTCGATTGAGATAGACTTTCGTTTGGTTTTGAAACTAACAAAATTTGCAGGATTTAGTGTTGGTTTCATTCATTTCGATTGAAACAACAGCTCAAATGGTAAGGTTGGTGCGTGTAAAGGGAAAGGACCTGGGTTCGACACCCAGGTCTGAAGTTTTATTTTTCTAACATTCCCTTGCATATTCAATGCAGGCATGCTATACATGCACACCATAGGCCATCAGATCCATGTCTTCCAATATCAATGCAGCCAGGCCCAAACGCATCAAGCATGCATCCTCATCATGGACACTCAGGGGATCCTCACACTGGATCCATAGACTCTGGGCCAACTTAGCATGGGCCTAGTGAATTTTCAATCCTCAGCCCCTATTTGCTTCCCAATCAGGCCCATTTTTTTTTATTTCTTCATTTATTTTATTGTTTGTTTGTTCAAAACCACTTTTTTAATAATCTATAAAATCAAAAACCATAAAAAATATTAGACTTAAGATTTTCTAATTTTGTAATTTAATTAATTTAATTATTTTGACATTATTTTATAATTTAAAATCAATTAGACTTAGATTTATTTCATTCAAATCTTTTTTTTAACAAAATACAAAAATATTAGGATTAGTTTTCTTGTATTCATTTAATTAATTAGGATTAAATTTAGCCTTCCTCATTTTAATTTTAAGTATTTTCTTAATAGACACAAAAGTAACCAAAAAAGATTTTTTATGTATACTTTGCAATTTCTTAGGGTTTTAGGTGTTCGTCTCTATTTCGCGTGCATTATCTTATTCTCGCATTTTTATAATAATGTATCTGTTGACAGTATGTAATAGATTAAACTATGACTTTATCGCTTTCTTTATTTTTTCCCAGTTTTGGATATGTATATAATCCCCCTCCCTAAAGCCTTGTAATAGCGTAGGATTTACGTTTCCGCACTTTTAATTCCTGTACATATATTAACAGCTTAGATGTATGCTAATAGAATTGTATGGCAAGAATAAAAACAAAATGCTAGAAAACTTAAATTCAAATACAAATAACTGAAACAAGCACATTTACACATATACACCTCTAGGATACGCCCACTTCGGTTGCCTTCAGAAATAGTCACAACTCTCGAAACGTGAGAGGTTTTAGTGGCTACCCTCTAGTTCAAAAAGGATCATAAGTCCCTCGATGACCCGCTCAACGTTGCCTCGATAAAAATATGATCTTAGAACCCTAGGGTAGTTACTAAAGCTTCTTGCCCATTTGCTTTTGTAACTATAAAAACGTCCATTCGAATGTCCCTCATACATTCAACGATGGGGCTACCTACTCACTAATAGTAAGATAATGCTGTCTAAAGGATAGGATGAAAAGAACAAGCTTTTCGAGTATAAGTAGATAGTTTTTAGATGCTATGCTTAAAACAAACTTTTTTACACTTACACATTTCAAAATAACTTTCAAAAACATTTGCTTTGTCAACACTCTTGAGGACTGATACAAGAGTTATCATAAAGTGAATCACCGCACTAAGGCATTTTCAAAACTACCTTCTTTCAAAACACAAAGCACAAGGTATTTTAAAAAATGAGTTAAGCATCTAAGAGCCTGTAGATAACTACGGATGGAAAGGGTGCTAACACCTTTCCTTTTCATAATCTACTCCCTTACTCAGAAAACTCTTGAAAGGTCTTTTTCTGTTCTTTTTACCCTTTCTTTTGTTGGATAAAAGAAAAGTCGGTGGCGAATCTTGCTTACCGCAACATTTGTGAACACAAATGCAAAACCAGTATAACAGTCGGTTCTGTCATCGTATCACACTATTCAACAAGAGCAATTTATTAGTCCCTGATTTAGAGGCATACAAGGATTTTATCTTCTCCCACAAAGTTTTTGCGTGTGTCTCACTAGCAATATGATTATAAACATTATATTCTACATATTTCCGAATAAAACTACATACTTGTATGTTTAAACTCTCATTCTTCATCAGACACAGAATTCGACTTTGTGGAACTAAACACCGATAAATGCAATTTCTTCATGAATAGTAGGTCTTTCATCTTGCCCTTCCACAAATGGTAATTATAACTATTAAACAATATCATCTTCATATTTATATTTGACACTATCATTCAAACAAGTAAAATAACCCCTTAATCTAGAGCTCTGATACCATTCTGATGGGAAATTAACACACAATAATTGAAAAATAGGCAGCGAACATAAAATTTCCCAAACTTGTAAGAACCTTGTGGATCAACAATAAACATATGACAACAAATCGAATAAATAAAGGTACAAGAGAACACAAATATTTTAACATGGAATAGAGTAAAAACCACAAGACATTCAAATCAAATAAATAGCTCCACTATAATCAAATAAGGGTACAATAGAGTCTCAGTGATTCACAAACTAGTGTTAACAACAATAAAATCACAAAGCAAACTAGCTTACAAATAAGAATAAAGAAGTTGAAAAGTTATGCAAATCTGCAGCTTCAGTGTGAAGTAGATATCTCTCAGCTCAGACTTTGTTTTGAAGATTCGGACGGTCAAAAGGTAGACTCAGGTGTTACGAACTTGCCCTCTAAATTTGAGCATTGATCCGACGGTTAATAAATCCGGAATCTAAAGGTAGAAGCTATGGCGGCTAAAACTCATTTTGAGGTGGAGGTTACTACTATGTATACTATTATTTGTGATGGAATCAATACAGAGACCCTTATTATCATTTGAATTATGATAAGGTAATGAGAGATATTATACGATATCAAAGATACGATTATCCCATCCTTGGTAGTGACACTTTGAATGTGGCTGAAGGGTTGTGTAACTCCGAAATTGGGACCTTCAGGGAGGCATTAGACAGAAATAAAAGTCAAATATGATTGAAGAACCATACTTGTGGGCTTGTTAGATACTACTAAAGCGAGAGAACAAGTTGTTGGAAGTAAGTGGATGTAAGTGACCATATCAAGATTTAAACGTGGCTCGAACTTGATCAAGTTTATTGAATGATGATTCAAATCTGAGAGGTCGGCATGATGATTGATGGGTAAATTTCCATCATCATACATTAAATTCAAGGTGGAGAATTATAGATGTATGTATTAAAACCTCAAGTGGTGAAGAGAAATAAATTATATTTTGAGACTGCTATAAATTAAAAAGTCAAAATGCAGTTGAAAAGTCGATGAAACACATTGGAGTCGTGGAGGAAAATCCCTCAAAGTATATATTGAATCAGAGAGTTGCTCTCTCCCCTCTAAGTAGACCAGTTTAATCAAACATGATAAACAAGTTTTTTTTGTGTTCTTGTTTGTTATCTTCCTCTTGCTTCTTGTGTTGCCTTCACTTAGTTGGTAGTTGTGCATGAACCTCATATGCAGATTTTGAGCAATTTCGGGATCTGTTTGCAGTAGCAGTTTTGGCTCAGGAAGGCGATGACGAGTTCACTTGGAATCGAGATGTTGATGAAGATTTTTCTGTTAAAGCTTGCTATGACGCTTTTGTTAATAGGGAAGCTATTGAGTGGGTTTTATCGAACATGAGGGAGGCGTTATTTCATTTGATAACATGTTTTTGTTTGCAGGAACTTTTTTTCTCATCATAAAAATGCAAATATAGAATGAATGTGAACACATAATTCTACATAATTCACATCATTCATGTCACAAAAAAACAAACCAAAAGAATCTTAAATATTTGTCACAACATTGCAAAAAATATTTGATTCCAAGTATCAGGAACACCAGGCAGACACCAATGAATACAATCAGCATTTAATGGATTCCTCCTTTCATCTTCTGTTAACAATTTTCCACCAGTTTCTGTGTAAACCGAAGAATGTCCATCAATTCTGTATTCTGAGATTTGTGTTATGTTGATTACAGTTACCGGAACTTTCATTGTCTTGATAACTTTTGCTACCACACTCATCATACCTTTGTTTGAACCACTTCCCCAATGATTCTTCTTTTTTACTGGCTTTGTTTCGTTGAAACATTTTGTACCGTCTTTGTTTCCCCAATCAGCACTCCTGAAAAATATTTCACACCATTCTTAGTTCATGTGTTCACTAAATTTGTTTCTTCAATCTTGTGTTATAGATATATAGTACTATAACGTAGCAGAACAAAGTGTTACTAAATACTAGTAGCTGCTATTGCAACAATATATAAAGCACAAATTCCGATGCAAATGCCGGAATACAACTCAGACACTCAGACATTGATAATGTAAAAAATATAGAATACCAGCATCTCTACATCTGCGATATGAAATACAAACTCAGACATTGCCACTAGTACACAATCCAGATATTCTAATAAATAATGTAAAAAATATAGAATACCGACATCCTTAGCTATAATATAATAGTAGTTGACCTTCTTTTATCCATCTATTATTAAATAAATTAAAAATATTTTAATTAAAATTGATGTTTTCGATTTTTCATTAATAATATTGTTTCAATCTTTAACCCTCTTAGATGCATGAGATTTGTCACAAAAAAAATGTAGAATGTGTTAAAGCAAAAGGAAAAACAATTTTTTAAACATTTATTTGAATTATCCGACTAACACTAATTCAAAGAATGATGAAAAAAAGAAGAAAAAATATTTTTTTAAGATATTTGTCTGATTTTTCTTACACTTATGTGGCATTTCCGATACATATTGTACGATGTCATAAGTGTTGAACATTGATGTGAGACTATCAAAGCAAAAAAAAAAAAAAAAATTAAATATTTGTTTGACTTTTCTAAATGTTTTAGCTTTATATTCTATTGACAATACTGCTTCAATGACACACTGACAAGAAATGGAAGACAGTTATTGAAATATGAAGTTTGAGAGAGAGACTTTGTGTGTGCAGGGGACATAGTTGTGAAGAAGACTCTAGTTTTGTTTGGGTTGATAGTTGAGTCCACCCAATTGGCCCAAGTCCTCAAACCTAAGTTGTAAGCAATTGATGTATCCAATTCTTCATATCCTTCTTCTCCATTACTAAATGAGCCCCACCTACATTTAAAAAAAAGTGATTTTTTCACATAAAATATTCAACTTTTCTTAGAAATTTTTATGAAAAATTAAAGCATTGAAGATGACTTACAATGCTTTAACTCTAAGACCACTCATCCACCAAACATAGGAGTTGAAAACAAGAATATCAACTCCTGTCCAATTTTTGGCACGTTCACTTATTTCATCAACTTTTATTATCCTCTTCTTTGGATCTTCTATTATGTTAATATCAGTGTTGGACTCCACAAGAAATGGTGCCCAATAAAATTCTATGCTAGCATTATATTCCTATATCAAATCAAACAAACATTATTAAAATAAAAACTAGCTTTCATCTTTTAGTATAAATGCTCAATTCCAAGGAATTTCTCTAGCAGTTTTAGAGTAGATTTTCGTAGTCATGCAATTCGACCAGTTTGGCCTAAATCAAATGGCTCGAATTAACAAAGTCATAATTGTCACATTCGTGCAATTTAGACTATCTGATTGAAATTAAACAACTCGTGTTTTGAGGATTAATCTGAGTCATACGATTTAGATTGAAACGTTTGAGTTACATGATTGTGACTATGTAGCTTTTTCTATTGCATAGAATCCTAATTTGATTACCTTGGCCTTGAAGACAGAATGAACCCGCCCTCGTTTCATCGACTTTTTCTTTTGAGGTATAATACCTTGAACCAAACAAACAAAAGATTGCCATTGATTTCTTTGAAGTGAATCTCCTACAAATAGAAGCCTTTTTCCTTTAAGCTTTTTGAGGGCTACCTCTGGATTAAATCTATCAAATATGAAATAGTCCATCATAATGTGGTTTAAATTAGGTAACCATACAAACAATTCAATCGCCAAAAAATGGAAGATCAGCTATAAAGACACCTTACACGATACAGACACGTCAGCAACATCAGTAGTTATTTAATTATTTGAGAAAATAAAAGTAACCGAATGTAACCACCATGTCAGTGTCGTGTACGTGTCAGACACCAAACATACGAGTTTGAATGTAGGAAAACTTACTGAGGCAAGGTACAATCTTCTGGCTGCCATTCCCAATGAAGATAATGAGAATCATTCCTTCCATTCTTGACACAAGAAAATTGTTTATCTATGTATGGACAACTTGTATCTGAATATAAAGGCTTTATAGAATGGTTAAATATCCATTTTCCATTAGCAACATTGCATTCTTCTGGATCAAAATCAAACCTATCATCAATCCATGTTCCATTTACAACCACATGTTCTATTTTTCTGTCATCTGTTAAACAATTTACATCATCAAAAAACAAAATTGCATTAATTAAGAATAAAAATACGAAAAAGTAGAAACATCATGACTTACACGATTTCGATTTAGTGTGTTTTCTAGGACATGTTTTGAACTTGAAAATAGAAGTGGAAGAAAGGAAACTAAGCCTCTCAGCATACAAAACTATTGTGAAGAGAAGAATACAGATTGTGGTAATAATGATAGGGAGAGGAAGCTTTTTTCTAAGATGATTCATTGTTTCTGAAGGGTTCATGGAAAAGGGTGGTGGCAAGAAAGTTAAAGTAATAGAGAAATAGAACAATGATGATGAAATTGTTGAGATGGTTTAAGAGATTTTTTTGAGTAAGAGTGAAGTTAAAGCATATATGCTAATAATAGTGGTTAAGAGATGAGATTAGGTTTAGAAGATTAACTTCTTTAGTGGTTAAGAGTAAGACAAGACTTGAAAGATTAACAACATTTTTGGCTTGTGTTATGGACATGTAGTGGAAACTAATAAACTATATATTGATCCAACCACTATGTTAATTTTTTTGCATTATGTATCATAAGGAAATTCATCATATATGATGTAATTCAGCATGATTGCACACCATATGGAAGCTATATTTCAACAAACCAATTATCGTATCAAACATCCATTTATGTAACTGAAAGTTGGTGAAGTACATACTGATTGTTAGAGAAATACTGTTGTAGGCTATATTCATCCCTTGTAATAAAGCTAACAAAGTTAGTCATAGGTAATTTTAGCCAGTGGATTTTCAGTTAGCAAAGTGATACTGTCATATAAGTATTTGGCTTGTAATAATTTGTTAGCAATTATATTATAATGAAAGCTTCAACAGAAGTTTGCTTGATCCCTTACTGATTCGATTCAATCTCACTTCCTTAACCACCTAAAGGTCTAATGGCAGCAATGGTTTCAATGGTGATTACTTCTCCTCAATAGCGAGCTTAGTCAATTGAAGAAGTGATGGTGTTTTTTGAACATAAAAAATTTCTTCCACCAAAGTGTAGAAGTGAAGACCAAATAGTCGATCTGCTGATCAAAAGAGTCTCGATTGAAATATTCAAGAAATTAAATAAGCAAATGGGTATGAAAGACTTGAAGAACTTGAATAAATGTGGTGCGTTGAAAAATTAATATGAATCAAATCATACAACAGGTTGTATAAAATATGCAACAAATTAAATCATGTTATGCAGTGTTTAGTTTTCAAAAAGAACCATAATGTAACTGGTTGACATATGATGTTGATCTTACCGAATCAGAATGGACAGTCACAGCTAGTTTGGGCAGAAGTTGAATGAGATGGGGGGAGTGGTGTACCTGCAAGCCACTCTGATGGCAGAGTAAGTTGCGGAATGAGCAAGCAAATATAAGAGTTAGAAAGTTTTGAATACCCGACCCTCTCGGAAGAGAGGGTATTTATAGCCCTCAGCGTTGGGTCAAGGTCTCTTTACTGGGATGATCAAACAGGCCCAACATAGAGACTGCCAAGTTCTACGTGAGTAGTGGGAACCCGCATGTGGCCTCCTATCTGGATGACGTCCTCCACAAGGTCAAGAGGATATGGACGCGATCTTTCTGGGACTACGAAGACTCCGCAATATTCGAAAACGTTGGTAGTCAGCCCTACGAGGAGGATGCTCGGGAGGAGCGCTTGCTCGTCAGGGATGGTTCCCGCGAACACAAAAGGGAAACGGCCTTGGTCGACAAGGCCTTTATGGTCGGGGTGTGTTTGAGGATAATGATGGTCAGCGGTGCAGGTTGGCACGTTTGGATTGGGCCTCACTGGGAGTTGGGCACGTCGTCGGTTCATGATTTTTCTCCGTGCAGCCGTCGAAGCGTGTTCGAGGAGGACTCGCGGGGAGAGGATGATATGCTTGTCAGACACGTGGTGTTGTACCCCAAAATTTGCCCTCTCATTTATCAAGTAATCTCTCACAATATCTCCTTTGGTTCAAGACTCTACAAGGGTTGATCAGCTCAAGACACCTCCTCAAGCACTGATGACTGAAAATTAGGATTTGATATTGCACAAGGAAAAATGGACTTTTAATGCCTCATATAATTTTCATGGATCATTTTGGACTCTCAAGATTGCTCATGTCAAGTTTCAAATCTTGGATCACATTTTTACTCAATCAATTGATCAGTTGGCCTAAAATTAGCTGTATTGGGGAAAAAGTCAAATGTGGTCAATTTACAGTCAAAGTTCATAATTTTTGGTCCATATCAACGTTATGAACTCATATATGTCATTTGATCAAGTTTGGACCACAATTCCACAAGAAATTTAATCAGATCATGAAAAGGGCAAAATGGTCAAAATTAGGGTTTTGACTGAGAAGGTGCAATTTCTGATTTTTGACCTAGCAAATGACTTGTTGATTTGAGACATGATCTCAAAGATTCAAATGCATCCTTTTGACCTAATGACATAGCTCAAAACATTCCTCAAAATCCATTGATTGACAGATAAGTTTCAGTCAACTGATGATAAGTCGATTGTACACTGAAAAGTCAAACTTTGACTTTTTGGTCAAAATCAAGTATCAAAGATCACAATTCATCAGGACATGTCAATATATGAAACTTGTTCATAAAGAAATCAAAAAGTCAAGATTTCATTTTGAAAAGTCAAAATTTCTAAACTTAGAAATTTTTCTAAGTGTTGGAAAATTCATATTTTTTCATAACTTTGAGTCAAATTTTCACCTTGATGCAAGATGATTTAAAGGAAACTTCCAACATGAAAGTTGTATATATCAATGAGATCTAAAATATTGTAGAACATACATTTTTCTATAAATGCATGGATTTCAAGTTATGATTTTGTGAAGACATGTTCATGAAACTTGGAAAATTAGTGAAATTTTGCCCTAGTTTAGGCAGGATTCTGACCTAACTTCATGGAAAATTTTCACATAGTTCCAAGATTAATTTTCAAAAATTTTCAACATATAGGTTGTAGAGGATGTTACAAGCTTTCCAAAATTTCAAAGAACTCATTGAGATCATATTTGAGCAAGGAGAATCAAAGGCAATAAGTTAGGGTTTCATTCTTGAATTACAAGTCATTTCTTGATGAACACATAATCCAATCTCACTGTTAGGCTGCATAATCTTGCTTTGCAGTCCTTCTAAATTGTGTATCTATCCATCATTAATGGATTACACAAACTTTTGAGCTATAATCCAATTGGTTTAAGCATTATCCAATTCAAATTGCCATTTTTGGAAGAAAGTTAACAATGTCATTCTTGAAAAGCAAGCTTTATGCACAAAGTCAATTCTTGAGTCTCTAACTTGTTCCCTCTGATCACACTCCATCTAAAAATTCAGAAACAAGTTTGCTTAAAGCATAACCACTCTACATTAGCAAGGACACAAGACTTTGAAACTTAGATTTCTCAAAAATCACATCTTGAGCTTAAACATTTGTTTTTGAATTCTGATCAACAACAAGCCTCCAAACTTGTTACTTATAAATAGAGTCACTATTTTTGAGCTAAGACACGAGCAGTAACATCCTGAAACTCTCTCAAACTCCCTCAAATCAGAAATTACCCAAAAACTCAATTGTTGCACAGTTTCTGACCTTGGACTTGTAACTCATATTTCCCTCGTGCGTTCTTTGGCCTTTTAGTTCCTAAAGCCCCCTTACATAAAATACAACTCATCCATGTCCCTGTTACATGACTGTAACACCATTTGCATCAAACTCCATAACCAAAAACAAAGCATTGCAGGTTGAGTTCTCAAAGTCATTCCATCCATCCATTGCTCAAGCTAACCATTGCATTAGCTTCCTGGGAACTTGAGGAAGCTAACCATTACATTAGCTTCCTGGGAACTTGAGGAAGCTAACATGATCATTGCAACACCTTGAATCAAGCTCAAACTCATTTCACGATTTCCAGTTTTGAGGTATACTTTTTGAACTTCTATCTTCTCATTTAGGAATTGTTAGGCTTACATTTGTGAAGATAAAATGTAGACATCATTACCCTGAAACTATACATGTCCATAGATTTCATTTATATTGCTTGAGTAGTGAGAATTTTGAGTTTGAACTTTCTGAAATAATTGGGTCAGAATTTGGTACTTTTAGAAATTCTCATTCATCTTTAATTTATAGCTTATGGTATTTATATGGTTGGATTCGTATGGAAAAATGGAGCAACTTTCATGTTTGCATATTTCATTTTTGTTGAGAAATGGTGAAGTTACAGGATCCATGGCTGGAGGTTGAAGATGAAGTTACATTCAGGACATAACTTGTGTTATGTATTTATTGTATTGTCAATGTTACCGGATGTACAGCCACCCCAATGACAAAGGTAGTGCGCGTGTATATAGGAGGTCATGGGTTCAACACCCAGTGCTACCTTTTGTGTATTTTTCTCACATTTTCTCTCTTTTTTGTCACACAGCAGCGCCTGGGCCCCAAACCATTGGGCTTTATTTTTTTGCTAGCTTCTAACCCCCTGCTTGCTTTCACACTCCTGGCCCAATTTCTTTTTATTATTTCATTTATTTTTATATATTTTATTTTCAGTTTCCTTTTATTATTTATTGTTATTATTATTACTATCATTATTATTTTTATTATTAAAAAATCCAAAAATACTTTTATTTATTATTTTCACATTTATATTTTATTTTTCTTTATAAAAACAAAAAGACTAAAAACATTTTCTTAACAAATTAATTTATTTTTTCATAATTAATTAACATTTAGATTTAGGTTTAATTATTATTTTTCTTTTAAATTAAAATTAACTTAGAATTTAGATTTCTTTTAATTAATTTTCATTTTTATTTGTATTAACTTAAAACCCTTTTTTACATAAAAACCCTAAAAAATTATTTTTAACTTATTTTCTTTATTAATTAGTTTATGTTTAATTTTGTTTAATTTTTAATTAGGTTAAAACCCTTTCATGAAAACCAAACAAAAATCATTTCTTTTCCATTTATCTCCTTGTACATTATTTATTCAATTTTTGTATATTATTCAATATGGTTGTAATAGATAATTAGGTTTAATTTTCTTGCAAAATCCCCATTTGTAAATTTGTATACCCCCCCCCTAATGATGTAATAGCTTAGTAATTTTACTTTCTGCAATTTATCGCTTTATATAAATGCTAGTAATTAGGGTTTGTATGGAAAGATAAAATCAACAAGTAGCAAACCCTAATTCAAGACAAAACAATGCATGTAAATCAAACACATTTGCT